GGTTCACGTTACTTGTCTATCCCATGCACTGCATAGAGTGACCGAGGAAGTGAGATCAAGATTTCCTCAAGTGGATTCTCTCGTGTCGTGGACGAAAAAGATTTTCGTCAAAGCTCCAGCTCGTAAAATGCAGTTTAAATCTATGGCTCCTGGCTCCTGCCCCGGAAACCTGTCATTACAAGGGGGGGGGGATCGTGGATTGATGCTGCAATTTACTATTGCGATCATTTTCAATTAGTGAAAAATATTGTAGATTCAATGAAGACGGAGGATGCGAAAGCAATTGAAGCTGCTCAGGAACAGTTCTCGTGCAGCGAAATGGAAGGGAAGCTGGCCTTCATAAAGGCGAATTTCAGTTCCTTGACGGAAGGAATCCAATGCTTCCAGGAGAAAGGAGCAACGCTAGAAGATTCGCTCGCTCTGGTGAAAAAAATAACCAGTGATTTGGAGAAAGTGTCAAGGGACATTGGTAAAATGGTGTCAAGAAAAATGAAACATGTTCTAGATAAATGCTCAGGTTATGAAACATTATGCAACACTTCTCGAATTCTGACAGGAGAGTCCTTCAGCACTTTCAGTAATGAAGAGGAACTTACTGCTAGTGATTTGGTACACTTCAAGTATGCTACCATTTTGTCTGCAGATGTGGAAAGGAGTTTCTCCAAGTACAAAAATGTGTTGTCAGACCCTAGGCTTTCACTCACCTTCGAGAATCTCTGCATGTTAACCCTCATATATTGCAACTCTGAATGAGGCGGCACTTAAATGCTGGAATATATACCGTGTATGTACATTTGATAAGCGTTCCAACGCGGTATAAAAGATCGTATTTAAACACTTTGCTTCAAATTCAGTCATATATTTATTAATTTTAAATATGAAAGCGAAGACGAACTTAAAAGAGTAACGTTGAGTTGACAGTGTTAATAAAGATTAAAAATACCCTTTTAAAATAATTAGTTGATTTTTCATGATATGATATATTTTTAGGTTGTTTTTAACTTTTAGATAATTTTTATGGATTTTTTGTCATTTTATAGGTCATTTTCTGGATTTTTTTGGCATTTTATAAGTGATTTTTCTAATTTTTTCGGTCATTTTAAAAATATTTTAGGTCATCAAAATCCGGGCTATGCTTATGACATATTCCTCACTTCCTGCATGAACGTTGGTAATTACCCGTCCTTCCTTTCTTGATTTATTAACACTAAGTATTCTTCTCAGTTACCTCTTTTCTCTGAACTTCAGATATTCTCTTTGGTATTCTGTTCTCTTCCTCCTTCATTCTGGCCCTCTCTTTAGACGCTTCACACCAACAGAAACCGTGGGCAGTATGCCTCTTACATTTGTATATCCATGTAGTCCTTATGTTCGTGGTGAGCAGGCAGGAAGACAAAACATTTGGAACTTAATGCTAGCTTGCATCTTCTTGAAAATAATTTGGCTTTATTTTCATACTGAGTAACATTTTGATTTGTTACCGTTTTTCTAAAATATGAACTGTGCCTCAATTTTGAAAATGATATTAGCAATTATTATATTATACGTATGGTTGTTCGTTTAGTCGAGATCTGAACACATGCTCAGTTACTAAGCTTTTCTTTTATAGCTTCTAATAGATATTCTGCATTCTACATTGCGATATTTTGGTTCTGTCTGTTAAATTATAGTAACATCAATAACAAATTTAATCAAAATCAATATATATATTCCCGAGCTCTTTCATGCTTCCAGCCCCACGGGCAGGGAGATTTCAATATGAGCTCCCCCCCCCCAAGAAAGCCTAACTAACTTCATGGAACTGAGCCCTTCTTGAGGAGCCTCCAGTTCTGCAGCTACTGAAGAATTTCCCAGCGTTTTATGGATCCCGAATGTTCATTACCGTGTTCACAAGAGCCTTCCTTTGGTCTCTATCCTGAGCCAGATAGATCCAGTCTATACCACTCCATCCTGTCTCTCTGATCTCCATCTTAAATATTGTCCACCCACCTACGTCTTGGTCTTTTTAATTGTCTTTCTCCTTCTCGCTTTCCCATCAAAAGCCTGTGTGTTATCGAAAGATGAGGCCGACATATAATTCAAGTTCCGACAAATGGCACAAATAGATAATAGTAAACCGTCTCCTGTAGTATACTACTCCGTGGCCTGTAGTCCGCAAGCGAGCTATACCGACCGAGCTACCGCCGCTTGTCGGCAAAGTTATGCCAAATTTACCTGTAGCATACTACACTTTACACATCGACATCAAACTGTTAGTAACATTCACAAAACAGGCACAAAAGGATCATCATTCTTTCGTGGCCTAGTAAGTACTCGTAAGTTACATTCATGCAACGTGTTAAGGTTCGACAATTCTTTACAATGGTAACACGAAATTGCATAATTTCAGAGCTTCCATCTCAACTTTACATTACATTATTAAACTGAACTAACTAAACTGAAATAAACTAAACTACAAAACAAACTCCATGGGTTCAGTCGCAAGCGAACTATACCGACCGAGCGACCGCCGCTTGTCGGCGAAGTTAGTGACAGCTTTAGCGGATAGAGAGTGTCACGTAGTCAGCAAAACGAGTCCCCACGGCTGTTAATTTCTGCTTTCTATACCGGAGCCGCTATTCCCTTGAAATAGCTCCTCCGTTATCCTCACGAGGCTGAGTGGACCCCGTTCCAGACCCATTACTTCTCAGATAATCTGATAGCGCCGGGAATCGAACCCGGAACCTCTGGATCTGTAGCCAGGAACTCTGACCACTAGATCACAGAGGCAGTCTAAACTAAACTAACTAAACTAAACCAAATGAAACTAAATGAAAACAGACTAAACTAAACTAACAAAAAAATTGCCTACACAAATTCTGGATAGACACCGGTTCACGAGCACGAATTTTTTATTGTACTACCCTTGCCGACACACTAATGGCCAGTCTCCCTTAAACCCCTCTCCTTTCCTCTTTTCTCATTCCAAATTTACGAGTTACATTATTCAAACACCCATCTCTGCCCTGAGTCCAATTTGTCACCCATTCTGCCCATTTAATCCTCATCCTCCAAGCACCTGCCCCTACATGAGGCCAGCAGACGTCTGGTCTGGCACTCCCACACCCCTGTCGGCTTCACTGCTCGTCTGGCCCTGAGCAAGGCTCAAGAGCAAGAGCGACTTAAACTCCAATCTGCACCGCGAGTGTTGGAGCTCGAGGCAGAAGAAACAATACAGTGATTCTCATTTACGAGTATGATTAACTTCTGCGATTGCGCCGTATCCGAACGGTCTAAGGCGTGTACTGATTTAGATTTCACGGAGACGTTGATCATGATTTCGAGTGTGTCTATTTGCTGTCGCATGCTTCCTGCCAATTTCTTGTATGGCTTACTCCTCCACACTGAAGATGGAGGCACTATATTCCGCCGAAACATCATTGGGCTTCAACTATCATCCCTGGACTTGCAGGTTTTATTTTCAAGGACGTCGTGCAAAGAAGACACAATGGGAAGTTTCAGGATATCATGTGGTTATGGAGACAACAAGGATCTTCAGAATCTCAGGTGGAAAAGGACTGACATTAACAAGGAACTTTAAAATTTATAATTTACTACAGAGAAAGTATCGTGATCACAAATTAATAATTTGATACAAAAAGAAATGTCTAACAGATTTTTATTCTTTTGTTTCCAATACGGACAAAATTTTATTAATTTCCTGTACCTAGAGCTCGGCAAGAGGGTGCTGATTGCGGCCTTCTTCAGACTTAATTTAATTCTAATCTCAACATCTTTAAATATAACATTTAGAATATCTTATCAGAATTAGTTGTGAAGGATTCAATTGTTATGTATTTTTGTGTATTTGAGACGTAACGTTTAACCCATACCAATAATTTGAAAATATTTGGAATTTTATAAATATATAATTCTTTTGGCGAGCATTTTCGGCCCACAGACAATTCGATATAGACCAACTGACCCCAAATGAAAAATTATTGTCCATTCCCAGCATAATTCATAATATGAAGAATGTAAAGGGGCCATAACATTTTAATGAGAAACGCGGATTTGGAGAATAAAGTATAAACGTCATATGGAAATCTAATGCAGTTTTTCTTTTCAAATGCCATAATTCATACCGTAATTCTGTTTGTTCCTCTGAGTTTCAATGTTCATACTTTCCCCATTTTCGTACACATAATTTGGTGATAACCACAGTCCAGTCCTTTAGATTGCACTTCTTTCATTATTATATAAATTCTTTTTAAATAATATGTTTCTGAAGAATCCTGTCTTCTAGGATACAACGCCGTGTAGTCCGTTGAAAATTAAGCGACATTTGGGAGGAAAGCTTTGCTTCCATCTTCAGGGACAAAGGGAACAAACAATAACCATCATGAAACGGGCAGAAAACAGAAATGTTTGCTGTCTGTTTCATGTTGGTTTCTTACTGAAAATGGAACCGACATGTTCCTCCGAATTTTCGGTTGACTTTCAACGAATTACATGGTATTTATCCAGCTCTGCTTGCTATCTGCTCCACGCTGGCTTCTTGCCTGGCTCATTATTGTGCCCTGAAGTTTGAGGCAACATTTTCCTCCAAAATTTCAGTTGAATTTTGAGCGGACTATATGGCATTATATCCCAAAAGGCAGGATTCTTCATAGCCACTACTGTGGGTACATCAAATGCAAAAATATATTTGTGGTTTCTCTTTGCATACCTTCCTGTGAATTACTTGATAAGGGAACTTAATTCTTCCATTCTTTAAACACGTTTCTATGGACATACATGGAAAAAATAATTCTTGATTGGACAAAGTATCTGTGTTAGAGAAGACGGTACAAATTTAGTCAAGAATGGGTTTATACAGGAGCTTAAACACCCGCACGATTGTCCATAATTTTAGAAAAAAGGGACTGCAACACATTTAAATATATACTTCAACACTTCAAACTAATTTCATAGAGCAAACTGGTAATATTAACGATGAATAAGAAAATTAGACCACTTACCATAGTTCATTTGATGTTCGGATTCTCCGGCAGTCACCTCTTTTGCAACAAGGAATTCATTGCTGACAGAATCTGCAACAGATCACATGACGGGAGCAAATTTTAATTATTAATCTGCTTCTTTAATAATTTCCTAGGTTACGTTTTATGCGGTCTGATAGGTAGTCACCGGTTACGGCGTAACATAAAGTCTCCATCTTCAGACTATAATTTTTACAGTAAAGGGATGTAATATGTTCTTCTGAGACGCTCGTAACAACTTACCAACTGTCAAAAACCGGAAGGTAAAGATGTAAATTATATCAGCCATGAAATCTGAATCTACTTAAGGAGCTATGTAAATGCAGCACATTAGTTTAGAAAACATAATTAATTTCAAGAACTTCTATTTTGAAAAATAGTGAAATTATTGTTTTTAAATTATATTTTTCCTTCAAATTCTTCTTCTACAAGTACACACCATCTTAAGATACCCCATTGCAACATATCTAAATCTTTCTAAAATGTTTTATACGTCATTTCCTTTTGAGGAGCAGAGGAAGCTTGTGCGAATATAGAGTCTTCCTCAACAGAATTTCTTTTCAAAAGAGAAAAGTGGCCCTATCCTTGTAAACTATATATTACTTAGGCTCAATATTACAATGTCATGCAAACAAATCTTCATATTTTGTTTCTTAAAGGCAAACAAACTTTAAAGTTCTGCGTTACTGATGGTCTCTGGAACCACATGTTGGGAACACTGGTGTACATCTTACAGATATGAGCTCTTAAAGAGGTAATAAGTTCTATTACTTTAAATTTTCATTTGAAGTTTATTAGTAGTTTTATAGGTGTAAGAACTCGCAATATAGTGGTTGGGCCTTGGTTTATTTAATGACGCGCTATCAAAATGCATGCATTTAATAGCGTCGGCAATTGTGAATGATAAGTTGGCAAAGATGTGGACCTATTTTAAAGTACTACTAATTTTCCTGGAGAATGTGATATAAACCAGTAGGAACTTCAGTCTGGATACCTCGTTACCATACCGAGATTCGAAAAGAGGTACTAGCAAGTTTGAAGGATTAGGCCTACTGATAACGCCCCCTTTACGTCAAATGTTGTGAAGTTGTACAAAGGCGCTGGAAGAGGTTAATACTAATTAGGCCTACCTCCACGCATAAAATTGCTTTACGTGTAAAAGACAGTAGTTCCCTTGTCAGTACATTCCTCGCCTTGTATGGGATACGGGGGTTCATTTATTACTTTCAAGACAGCCCCCATTGTACCCTATCTTAACCTATTTTAATCCAGACCACAACCTGAAATATTATACATGCTGAAGTTCCATTTTAATATTATACTTATAGCTACGTCTAAATTTACTAAGTGGTCTCTGCTCTGCAAGGTTCCCACGAGTTTAACTATTTAATTAAGTGAATATTTTGTTAATCTGTACCAGTAAGTACAATACCAAGAATTCGTATCCCAATTAGTGTTTGTACCATACAAACCATAAAACTAAATAAACGTATATCACAACATGTCCTATTATGTCATGGGGCCCGGTACTAGATTCTCTCGCTAGTAACGCTCTATGTACTACAAAAGTATCAGAAATTAATTTATGACATAAGGACAGATAATGTGGCGATACAGTTGAAGTGACTGTGCCCCTACATTAAGGTAATAGTCTTAACTCGACAATTTCACAGCTGAAATTCAAATGACTGCGTACATTCAGAATCCCAACAAATAAACAGCAACTCCGTATCGAATTCAACTATGAGGTCCAAAATATCATTTGGTAGTTGCCAAAATCCAAATAATATCACGATCTAACACAAATATTTCCGAAAATATTTGCTGATATTGTAACGTGGATAGCCAGAGCTTTGCTAGGTAACGACCGGTAAACACCTCACGACCAAATAAACGCAAGGCAACAATAGACGATTTACCGTTTCTATGCAACGACCTGTAAACAACTTCAGTTGAGTCCGTTACAACAGTAGAAGTCAAGAACGAAAGATGTTTTGTATGTGATCTGTGTGAAGCTTATATAACGAGTATTGGTTATAACTTAGCCGAGACTGTGAGCCTAGTGCAATGTGCAGGGTGCTTATAAAAGAAGTGAATGCAGCCATTCAGTTCTGAGTTCTTGGTAGAAGATAGTCACGGAAAGTTCGTCGTAGAAGTAGAATAAGATGTCGGCCTGTGAAGACTTGGTGTGCGATTAGAAGGTTTAGTCACAGTGGGACTGTTTTAATGACCGCCTCTGTGGTCTAGTGATCAACGTTCGGTTCTCGGCGTTACCAGATTTTTTTCTGAGAAATAGTGGGTCTGGAACCTGGTCCACTCAGTCTCGTGGTGATAATTGAGGAGCTATTTCAAGGAGTTAGCGGCTCCGGTCTAGAAAACCGAAATTACCGGCCGTAGGGATTCGTTGCGCTGACCACGCGACACTCTCTATCCGCAAAAGTTGGCACTAAACTTCACCGACAAGAGGCGGTCGCTCGATAGTTCGCTTGCGGACTAAAATCACGGAGTTCTTTTTTTTTTACTGTTTTAATTCCGTTACCAGGATACGACTAGTTAAGCCTGAGGATACTAGTGCGTGTGTAACGGTGAAATGTAACTTGTGCAAATCAACAATAGCGCTGTATTCAAGTGTGATTAAGAGAACTAGAAACCGCCATTTTCGTGGAGCGTACCACCCTACACTTGACAATATTTTTTGCTGTTATGATTTCATATATTAAACAAATATTTTAGGCGACAGGGGTAAAGGATCTGAACTCTCAGCTCCTTTCCCCAGTACGGAATACGTATGTTTAAAGAAAGTGAATGGTTAATACGTTGTAAGTTAAGGACTTTGAAAGACGAGTTTATGTTTTCGGAAAGTGGCTAAATATATTTGCATATCTTTTTCAGGTGTGAACAAATATGCCTATTAACAAGGTTTCAGTTACTATACTGAGATCTATTTAAAATTTCCGCTGGAATAATAATACGAAGGGTAAAATAATTTACTATTCTTCAGACTGTATTCCATTCTTAAAAAAAAGGACTTATTTAAAACTTATTTTTAATTAATCCTACTGATTCGAAGACCTGCGTGGTATGTAAAAGTGAAACAGAGGGCCGTGACTAGTTGTACGTTACAGATTCTTCAACGGAGGAGAACTAAGATGAAATTCCCTGCTTCTATTCAACCTGAAGGTTCACAAAAGCCGCCAGTAAATCTGATCCTGAGTCAGCTGAATCCACTTAGCACTATTACACGATATTATATCTATGGAATATATGCCAGTTTGTATAGATGCAAATTGACTGTGGTCCTTACCCGCAGAATATTATCGCTGTTGTACAGTGATATCAAATCGAATTTCATCAGGTTTTTAAAATTACGTCATCGTATAAAATATTCTCTAGACCTAGGCCAGCATTGCAGAGAACATAAAGATTTATGTTCTTCATTCCAAACATTTTTGGTATGACGAATGTTTGACTTAATAAAAGGAAATATACTGTCTGATCCTGTTATTACGACAACAATTGCAATAAAAGCTATCCCTGTAACAGGCCGTGAAGGCCCATAGTGTTGTGAGACGTCGAGGCACCCACATTCTCTAGACTATCGGCTCACAGATGGCGGTAAGGTTGTCAGTCTTACGCGCCGGCTTCCCTTTACCCCCCAGGAAGATCCCTGATACTCATTTCTGTTGGAGGCTGAGTCGACCCCAGGCCATACTGCGACTGGAAAGATTAGGTAAATTGAAAAAAAAATCCACCTCATCGGGACTCGAACCCGCGATCTTCTGGCTTGTAACATAGTGCCTCAACCAACTACGCTTTTTCATAAACAATTCCAGTGACGCACGGCAAATCACAAGGAAAGTACGTCTGTGCTCCAAAAGTAAATCTTACGAGTATTATGCTTGTCGCATTTGAAGTTCTTGCCTTGATGACTAAAATAATTCTATCTTCTGGTATGTAAGCCAACCGAAGTTTCGGAGGACGTGTCGCCTCCATTTACAGCGTCGAAAAATTAGCCACACAAGAAGCCAACATGAGGCAGGCAGCAAATTCCGCTTACTTTATAACCCTGAAAATGGAGGCGATATATTCCTCCGAAACATCAGCTGACTTTCACGGGACTACTTTGCTTTATATCCCACAAGACAGAAATTTTCTTATCACTGTTGTTACTGAGTATTTTAAACTATCGAATTTGTCCAATAAAATACCTATATGCCGATGTTGCACGGAAGATGCTGTTATTAAGCCGGTGAAGAGATTGTTTCGGGTGTTTTTAGTTGGAACAAGTGCGCATATCGGAAAGCCCACTTAAAGTAAGCCATTAGAAGGGCGCAGGCAGCAGAGAGTGGCGGGTAAGGGATGGGGGATGTTGTGGGAACCAGAGTGAGTTCGATGTGAAGATCAAGTTGCCTATCTTGTCGAGGTACAGGCGTAGATTGAAATTGTTTCCAACAGGTGCAGAACAGGACGTAAATAAATAAATAATCCAACTGAGTCCGAGAGTTGTACTCCTGTTTGCTTATAGGAAACTAATTGTACACTATGTAAGATTTGAGACTTTCACGGCGGTGACTATGAAGAAAGCAGTCTTCTGGGATTTGGCACTGTGTATATGTGGTGTTAACCGACGTTCCTCCGAAACGTCGGTTAACACCACATATACACAGTGCCAAATCCCAGAAGACTGCTTTCTTCATAACTGTACACTGTTTCTAGTTCAATATCGTGGCCAACGCTTCCAGATCTAATAATAAATCTTAGTCGGCCTGCTTCTAAATGCGAGACGCAAATACTCGCAGACGCCGAAGCGCTTTTTGGTGTGCTTATCGATAATGTAATGGCTGATACAGCGCCATGATGTAAATAAACAAGTGACGATCTCCATACGGCAGAAACCTCCTTCAGATACCAGTAGTAACACAAATGACAAGTAATTTCCTGCCGCTTATTATAGAACCCGAAAGCTCTTTGCAGCTTTCACAAGAAATCGCTACTTGGCCCTGCACAGAGCCAGCTGAATCCAGTGCATTCACCCATATCATATTTACTGA